ATTGTTTGTAGCAGAAGGTGATAGTGATTATACAGATGAGAAAAGAATGTTAATGGATGATTTAAAAATATCACATGGTTCTGTATGTTAAATGATAATAATTGTGTAGAACTGTTAATACATTGTATCATAATTTTGTATCTTTTATAGGACGATCATAAATCCAATCTTTTTACTGGAGAAGAAGAACTGTTCGCTTTCGACCGTACAATATCGCGTCTGTCGGAAATGCAAACTGCGCAATATTGGGATCAATGGCAACATCATAGATAATACTGATTCAGAGTAGCACAAATTTTAATAGTTCCTTTTTCTAGTACATCCATCTAAGTCAATAAATTATAAACCCTTAGTGAAATGTCCTTGAACAGAGTACATACAATCAAGTATTAATATTAATACGATAATTTTTTCAGCCATGGTACTTGAAATTTATGCAGTGTTCCAAAGAACTTAAAGTATTTATATTATTTACTTCTGTTTTAATATTTATTTATTTATTTTAATATCGAATGATGTATAATGTACAGCAATAAAGAAAAATAAACAATATTCAGTTCGACTTATTAATTTCAGAATTTGATTACACAATTAACATTCATGCAATAGTTTCCAATGATAATACAGAGTGTAATGATGAGGAGAAATTATTTCTTTTTTATTCATATTTTTGCGTCATTAATATCATGATATAACATCGATATAGTTTGTCTAATTAATTGATTAAATAAGATATATATTCAAAGAGGTTCGTGATACATTCTATTAAGCAAAATTGTTTGCAAATAGATAAACTTCTAACCAAGATCGATGATATTCGCGACAACCTGTTTTTATCACTTTGCTCAATTTTTATCAATTTGTTTGCCCATTCCCGCGAACAAATGCTCCGAATACACACAAAACTTACATCTTACACCATATCACGTGCAAATAATCACAAATCGTAAACGATTGCGTTGTTATCAAATCTTGTTTTTAAACGAAATCTTCCACAAATTCGTGTCACAGTCACTTACGTTTCTGTACGTTTCCTTTCCATTTTGTTTCACTATTGCGCGCCTGTTTCGCTTTCTTAGGCAATAATTGGAACAAACTAAGAACTTTTTTTAATTTCTAATAGATTCCACTACAATGGATATTCAAAAACTGACTAGTGGTACGCGATTTAATATTCCACATTCAAATTTTACAATAGTATCAAACGTTAAATTTAATTAATGCTACCAAGTACATGTTTGACTTTCATATGCTTTAATTAAAATACATTGATTCCTTTTTTATATTTTAGCTGCAGTGAATTTCGACGAATCTATGATTGATGAGAAAATTCATTCTGTACGTAATAAAGTTAAATCACTGAAAACTGATGCAAAAACTAGTTGGTTAATGAAGGCAATAAGCTATATAGATCTAACTACTTTAGGAGGGGATGATACACCTATGAAAGTCAAGGCTGTTTGTAAAAAGGTAATCCTAACATAATTATTATAATTGTTATGGTTCGATATGCTTGTAATAATGTATATAATTCTACATTCAATTTTACATATTAATTATAGGCTGTCAATCCGCTCGAGTTATTGTCTATGCCTAAAGAGCATGTGCACACAGCAGCTCTATGCGTTTATCCATTGAGACTTGCAGATGCAGCAACTGCACTAGCTGAACTAGATAAAGAACATAAAGTTTCTTTAGCTACTGGTTAGTAAAGTACTTCTTTGTTAACTTCATTTAAACTGAAGCATGATACAATGTGAAAACAATCATTTTACGAGTAGTAGGTGGAGGATTTCCATCTGGCCAATACCCATTAGAAACTCGTCTTCGGGAAGTAGAGATAGGTATTGAAAATGGTGCTAAGGAGATGGATATTGTTATCAATAGAACAATGGCTCTAATGCATCAGTGGAACGAATTGTACGAAGAACTGAAACAGTTTCGTACAGTTTGTGGCAACAAAGTTTGTTTGAAAGTCATTCTTGCCACAGGAGAATTGATTAGCTTGGAAAATATATATACAGCATCTATGGTAGCAATGATGGCTGGAGCTGATTTTATTAAAACTTCTACCGGAAAGGAATCCGTAAATGCCACTCTACCTGCTGGAATAGTTATGTGTAAAGCAATCAAAGATTATTATGAGTTAAAACAGAAAAAGGTAAATGTAAAAAGAAGATTTTGTCTTGAACAAAACAGAATAAGTGTTGATTCATTGGATGTTTATTCTTCTGTTATTTGTAGGTTGGTTTCAAACCTGCTGGAGGCATTAAGACTGCGGAAGAGGCTTTGGAATGGATAATGTTGGTGCAAATGGAGTTAGGAGATGAATGGTTAACTAAAGATTTGTTTAGAATAGGTGCATCTAGCTTATTGGACGATATTGTTAAAACGTTAACGAAATAATGCTGATACACATATGCAACGTTTTTTACTTTTTTATATAAACATATGTATATAACCTTCTTGAATTTACACTGGAAATGTATACTATTTTTATATATATTTTAATAAAAAATGTTATGTATCGTAATATGAATTATATAAATTAATTTATATTAAGGCAGTCTTTGATGTGAACATAAACGATAGAAAAAACGTTAATTAATTATTGTCGAATCTCAGCTAATTTATGCAGTATGAAGTAATGAAATGATAAAATAAGGAATTTTTATTAAATGAGGAATTAGTATAACGAATTTAATATAATTTAATAGAACTAAAAATTGATATTGTTACAAAAATAATAATTCGTAAAAGTCTGAATCGGTTGACAACATTTGGACGCCATTTTGACTGCAGTGGCGTCGCAAGGGATTTCCTGATGCTTTCAGCGACACCGCGAGTTCGTGCCTTTTCCGTTTAGAAAACCAAGATGGTAAGTTTGTCACGCGCTATCAACGCAAAATCCACTTACATCCGAGTTACAATGCGTCGATTCCGTTTAATATTCGATTGAAATGTAAACTACGAGAACCTAAGTGAATATTGACGCATATATGATCCTTTAAAGCCGTTTTACTTTTATCGAGACATAAAAATGGTTAGGTAGTGGCAGAACGTATCACTTTGTCATACATGTCTATGCATAACATGAACATTTGTTGACGTAATTCGTTTAGAAAGGTAAACGTCTCACGTAGCAGATGTTGATATTATATTTTCTTTAAAAACTGTAGTGTAATTAGTGAAATAAAAGAAAAAACAAATGGTAATCTAACCTCACAATTCAGTGCCGCGATGTAAAGTGAATCAGTTGATACCGTTGACATTGAGTAACTTTTTATCGAATATTTAATATATAACTGACTCAGTGTCAACATTTTTTTAGGCTCGAGGTCCAAAGAAGCATCTGAAGCGTCTCAATGCGCCCAAAGCATGGATGTTGGACAAATTGGGGGGTGTCTACGCTCCCCGTCCATCCACAGGACCTCACAAGCTCAGGGAATCCCTTCCACTTGTTATTTTCCTCCGTAACAGGTTGAAGTACGCCCTGACCAACTGCGAAGTAACGAAAATTGTTATGCAGCGTTTGATCAGAGTCGATGGCAAAGTTCGCACCGATCCCAACTATCCTGCTGGTTTTATGGGTAAGTTCATACATGTTATCGTGCCTTTCATGGGCCATATCGAAGCTGTGGTACCTTTCAAAAGAGATATCGCAGTCAAACATTGGCCAATATTAAAAGAAAGTTCTTTACTTTGGTCACAGATTGAGTAAAATATTCCTTCTGTATTACCCAGAAAGTGCACATCTCCGTATTTAATTAAATAAATACTCGTAAAATGTAATGTTGTACACGTTACTTAGTTTAATTTCTTGTTTCAGATGTCATTACTATTAAGAAAACTGGTGAATTCTTCCGATTGATTTATGATGTCAAGGGACGTTTCACTACTCACAGAATTACGGCAGAAGAAGCCAAGGTACTTGTTGTTGATACTTAAATTAAGCTTGAATTAAGATTGAAATACTTTCGATTCGACTAAGGAGTTAAATGTCTTTTTGCAGTACAAATTGTGCAAGGTGAAGCGCGTTCAAACTGGACCCAAGGGTATTCCATTCTTGGTAACACACGACGGTAGGACCATTCGTTATCCAGATCCTCTAATCAAGGTTAACGACACCATTCACTTGGACATAGCGACTAGCAAAATTTTGGATTCGATTCGATTCGATTCAGGTATATTATTTCTATACATAGTTCATTTATTTATATATATTTATAGGAAAGGCATGAGATGTTATTCCTTATCTTACAGGTAATCTATGCATGATTACCGGCGGAAGAAATTTAGGGCGTGTTGGTACGGTCGTCAGTCGGGAGCGTCATCCTGGATCTTTCGATATTTGCCACATTAAGGACTCTCAAGGACATACTTTTGCTACGAGGTACTTCCCATTGACAATTGTTTATTTATGTAACAAGTTACAGTCTATTTAAGATTTCGCAAAAGAAAGATTCGGTTAATTTCTATAGTGGCCATAATCGAAGCTATGATAATGCGTAACAATATTGTAGTCAAAAATTGGCCAAAATGAAATTCCTTCATATTGGTCACTGACCGCCTTCACATAGGCTTTTCAGTATTACCCATTTAGGAAACAAAAACGCATTAAAAATTGCTTAATCGCGTTGAATATTGTAAATATTATATCACGAATCGTTTGTTTAGGTTGAACAATGTATTTATCATCGGCAAGGGTACGAAGCCGTACATTAGTTTACCAAGAGACAAGGGAGTTAAGCTTTCGATTGCCGAAGAACGCGACAAGAGGTTAGCAGCGAAGGGAATGAATTAATGTACATTTTCAAGAAAACATTCAATAAACCGAGAACTTCTTGGTGAATAAAAGACATGCCGTCCTCACCTTCCCACCTTCGTCGTCAGCTATCTTCTCGCTGCACTCATCCCGAACACATTTAAATGACACAGAACAGCGAAACGATTCTGTCGTCGGAGTATTTAGCGTAATTACATTTAAAATATTTTTTGTTAACATCTATCTCGCTATCGAACGATTATTATTAACACTCTGGCTATTGAAACCGCACAGAGTGTGGATAAAAAATCAAATCGATGTAATTCGTGTAAACATGGCGATCCATTCAAATAACATTTGTAAAAATTGAATTGTCGAAGCGTATCGTGCCTAGTGGTTGCGTTAAAGACGAAGAAGAAAGTAGAACGGGCGAAAGACGAGGTATTCCACGATTATTTTCCTGGCAGCCATATTTCGGTATTCAGTTCCATTGCTTTTCGCAGCATAGCGTTGCATTGTTCGTCTCTGTATTTCTCGTTTTTCTTGTAAACTCCTTTGGCAGCTTTCAGATACCTATAAAAAGAAGAACGATAAATCGAACAATTGTCGTCCACGTTGGCTGAACGCGTTTAATCAAGGACCGCTACTTTTGTATACAAAGAACCGTGCTCTTGACGTCCTTCTCCAGGATCCGCGAAGACTCGGATATAGACGACGGGAGATACTCCGTCGCGTTGTCGTCGTTCGTTCGAGTCAGCGGATAAATACGGACCCATCCTCCCTCTTTCACGCACGGTGTGCTCCAGTTCTTCCCGTTGTCCCATACCGATGTTTTGTCATGATTCTCTGGATTGGTGCCGCGGAAACCGCGGGGAATGTACTTGTCCACTAACAGAGGATTGTAACGAGACCACGAATTCGAACAATCTTGCAGAGTTGATTGTCTCAGCTGATAATAGTATAACGTAGTTGCAAGATCGAAGAACACTGTTGGCTAATGTTCAGCGAGACGAGGTACTTTGTTGTTGAACGAAACGCGATGGCTGTGTTTCGAAGATGGGAAAGAAGAGCGATTTAAGAATTTACCCTCAGGGGCTGTAGTATGCGAATATGCAGCTACAGCACGGGTTTAGCGATCCCGAGGTACCCGAGCTATAAGGGGGTTAGCAGGTCCCCACAGATATGAGACACAACGAAATTATGATAAGCAGAATGGAAATAAGTAAGAAATATGCATTAGTGTAACAACTATGCATGTACAGTTAATCACTTCGAATCAATATAAGATACAGGAGATTCGTGCTTCTAGATATTGATAATCTTAAAAATGATTTAATTATTTGAAAGAATAATTGGTCTTGAAGTCACGCGATTCATCAGAGTACCTCGTCCTGCTGAACGAAGTATAACACAGAAGTATACATAGATACGTACAGCAGGTTGGAGTTCGGTGCACAGATGCAGAAAACCGTCGGTGTCCCGACCCGTCTTCGACTTCTTCTTCACGGTTCGACCCCTACAAAACTTGGAAGACACTTCTACCTCGTTGACGACTGGGCTCGTCGACCATATCGTGAAAAGGGAGAGTCCAGTGTTGCATACTGGAAGACCTAATAAATCGAACAAATCGTGCAGAAGGGGTTTCTTCACTTCTGAATCGATCTCGCAGTCGTTGCTCAACGCAGGGCTCAGATTGACCTGTTAGGAGGCCAGTCGTGTTAAGAGCGCATGGTTGTTTAGTTTTGCGCGAGATCAGATTATTTATTAACCTCGAGCAGCCACGGTTTCAGATTCTTGTCGATCAGCACGTCGAACCCGAAGAATTCGAAGCAATTGGAAGATTTCGGTATACCTGCTGCTTGGCTCAGTATCGTCAGGCTCACCAAACAGGCAATCCTCTGCCAGAGGAACCAGTCGAAGTAACCCGCCTGCTCGAAGTACCTTCTCAGTTGTTTGAACGTCCATTTGCAGCCTAGAAGACCCGTTATTAAGTTAGTATTAATTCTACACTATCGATCATTAATTTCAATACACCACCACACCTGTAACTTTTCTAAAGAAAAATGAACATAATTACTGGTTGCCATACATACATAAATGAGTCGAACTACCAAACTCTGCTCTCTGTACTAAAAAATTAGTTGGTAGCTTCGGTTCATGTGACTTTGTTTCTCAAGTGTATAAATTGTATCTCGTTTATTTCATACCAGAGCCGACGCGTTCCTTTTTCTCCGCGTATCCTGGACCCAATTTGTTCAAAGAGAAGTTGGTCAGGTGTCTGAAAGGATCGTTCAAGTGTTCCAAGGAGAACTTCTCCGTGGCGAATCGCGTCAAGCCTTCTTTGTACAAATATATAGTCAAAGGACGATACGAGGGCACGCACACGTACAGTCGCAGATCGAACTTGTAACCACCGATCAGAAGAGGATTCTCGATGTATCTCTGTACGATCGTCGTGTTATCGTACGTGAGGTCGCTTAGTTTCTGAAACATTCCGTTATGAATGATATTATAGAATAACGAAATATTTGTTTAATTTCCTTAAATGCGATACATTGCGCTTACACGAAACAGAAAGATCCCTCTTCCTTGGCTCTGGCCTACCGGCTTGCAAATCCAAACCCTGTCCTCCTCGCAACGGCTGCATTCCTCAGCCAGCTTCGTGTACTCCGAGGGCAAGTTGTATCCTGTAGGACTAACGCGACGCATTCCAGTTTTGATAACGATTAAACATTCGTTCTGGCGTCGATAAACGACGATAGTTTCAGAAGCGCCGTGTTAGACCATACCTGAAGTCGTAGATCGAGCCGTGCATCTTCTTCATGCACCTCAGGTGCCTGACAAGATTGTCCTTTCTGCAGATAGAGCTACCTTTTGGTATTCTATTGACAAACTGCGAAAATACTAGTTTCAGAATGTGATGGGCAGCGAGGAAACTATATTCCAAAGGAACTAATGTAACGATTTTTTTTATAGTTATTCAAGCAAATCAAACGTATCGTAGGACTCTATTTTCAATCCCTGTTTAACGCTTTCTTTTTATTTTTATTTGTAGAAGGTAACCATCTGGTAGAGAAATCCTGGTACACCCCGTGGGACGTGTTTTAAAGTTGGAAGTAAAGTTTTAGGCGAACGGAAGAACCGGATGCATTATTACCTGCCAGGGCAACGGCCTGTAATGGGGCGAAGGAAAACCCCCGGATCGCCACCATAAATTCCATCGATCTTTGAATACATTATTGTCGCCGCTGTATTCCCTCCAGCCGCGTTCCGTGCAAACCTGTGGAAAAGTATGCAAACGCTCGTCTACTTCCGCTTTCGAGCACGCTCGGGCGGGAACGTGCCTTTTATCATGCCAAAGGGATCGTCCTCGCACTATCCACACATAAAATAGTCGCGATACTTTAGATGTAGATTTAGGTGAAACTGCGTGCACGAAAATCTTCAGCCTCGTTAACGCGTTGACTGCCGTGTTACCCATATATGGACTTTTCACTAGGAATTTAAAAAACTTATTCCGAACACGAGGTGTTAAGGGACATGAATCTGGATAAGATTCCTGAATTTTGAATTCTTAGATTATATAGTTTCGAATGATTTCAAAGCGAAATTTCAGTCCCACAAAAGTATTCACAAAAATTAGTGTGGCTCTCAACGTGTTAAAGCTCTTCGAATAATTAAATACTCGAGAATGAATATTATTCTAGCATTTGCGTAGTTGATTATCATTCGATTGATTTGTAGATAAATGTGCACTGTTTACAAAGTAGAATGGGTCACCACGACCGTTTCAGGGCACGGCGAGCATGTAAACCAGTGGCATCGCAGTGTCGTCCAAGGGGCGGACGGTGGAGCAGTGTGTAGCGTAGCCGACTACCAGGCAGGCAGCTCGGGTTCGAATCTCGGCCGTCCGCCTCAGTTTTTCAAGGTATAAAAGCTATCGGAAGCCTGTGGCTTAAATTTGAGAAGTAATGAAAAGATTAAGATAATAAAAACAGAGATGTTATGGAAAAAGAAAAGGTACACGATAAGTGCAATAGTCGAAAATGTACATGCACTCCTGAATTTTAGACTCAGGCGTCGTTTAAATTCTAAATATTACGCATTCCACGGTTGGCGAAGTTTGTATCGCGCACGCGAAAATAGTGGAGAACGCCTTTGATTTATTTGTCGTGTTATTAGAGCATTAGGAATGGCTGCCGGCGATATATTAAAACCGAGCCAAGGCCTCTAATTACAATTACATCCGACTGCGCGTCCCTTTCTCGCTGTTACCGGTAGCCTACTTTTATTATTCGGCTCTACAATGGAGCGATTTCTTACAACTTCGTAATCGATCCGCGGCGAAAGGACGTCGACACCATTTACACCCCCGTTACCACAATCCAGAATCGTTTCGTCTCGCTATTGATAGTACGAGAAGAGGAAATTGAATCGCAGCCGCGGCTCGATCGAATGTTTCTTGAATCGACGAGACGTTCTTTCGCTGCACAACTCGAACAATGAATCCTGCTCTAATAATAAACGATCGACTGGGTTTGGCGTCGCGTTAGCTCGGTCTCCTTACCCAGAATCTTCGACGGCATCGTTTTTGCGCAACCCTACGCTCCGGCGACCGAAAATCTAGACTCCGGGGCTAGACTGGTGCACTATTTATATTGAAATAATTTTTTGTTATCCAAACGATGCCCACCCTTGTCTCAGAGTCACAATTATAGAGGGTTCGCGAGGAGGAAATGATTGCATAACGAAAACGACGCTACGGCTTGGCGTAATGCTACCACCAAGAATCTCTTATCGAGGAAGCTAGCGATTCGTACAAGGAAAACGGTTCTGTTAACCCTTTATAGGACAGAACACCCTGGGCATCTTTTTCTTCCACTTTTTCTTGTGGATGAGCGTAGAAACTTACAAGTACAAAATTTCCGCCCCTTCGTGGTAACGAGTATCGGTGACCTATAAAGGGTTAATGCGATGGACGACGACTCTATTCTTCGCCCTTTTATTATTGCGTGTGGCCAATTGTTAATAGCCCCCGCTGGTGGTTCTAAAAGTGGTGCACGCAAAAGCGCGTCGCATCCCGTCAGCCTCGGCAGGTATGCACGTGCCTACGTACACCGTGCGTACCTTGAAAAGTATTCAGTTCAAGGTCACGGCTAAGTTTGTAACCGTGCCGAACAAACACCGAGCGACATAAAACCGTGACGTAACGTATCCAACGTTCGCGTACACCCTACGGCAAAGGTTCTCTCTAAATTTGGAATTTTCATCGCCGAAACGTTTTCACAGTCGGACGCGCTTTCGATTTTCCGTTTTGTTTAACGATATTGTACCTGTATGAGGAGATGCGGTCCTGCACCATTGTCGTTAAGTCTGAACACGAAGGGTCCATCCAAGTACTTCACTGCCATACCGGAACATTGTACTCAAGCGGGAGACGGGAAGACAATTTTAACAGATCATGACGCAACTCGATGGGGATTCTTCTTTTTCGAAGAACAGAGGAAACGGGGGTGCTCGTCTGGAAATGAACGTCGAATTGTCAGCGTGGCTAGTTGAAATATTCGAGCCAGATGCGGAGACCAGGATTATGCAACGTTTCAAGTTTTATGAGAAGATATAAAAGAAGAATCAAAAGGTATCTTAATTAAAAACTCGTGTATGAATGTTACGCTACCATTTGCGTAGTTGACTATCATTCAATTAATTCATTTTTTCTTAATATTAGGCATGATTCGCTATCTCACAACATGGAGGAACATAAACTTGAGTGGAGACCAAGGGTGGAAGACTATAAAACGTTGTAAGTTTTATAAAAGAAGAAACAAAGTGTATCTTAATTAAATACTCGAGTACGAATATTATTCTAGCATTTGTGTACTTGATTAGCATAGATTGACTCGTTTATTTCTTAATTTTAGGTATATATTTACTATCTCGCAACGTGCAGGAAGATAAACTTGAGTGTAGGCCAATGTTTAAATGTAAACCGTAAATGTGAACAGTATGCATCACTTTCTTCGATAACAAGACCACGCAATTGTAAATATAAGTACGCTCACCTTGTACGGATACAGTGTAGTCCTCTATCTTGCCATGTGTCGAGACTTTTCATTCATAAAAGCACGGTGTATCGAGGATCGACGAATTCAGGCCTTAGTATTCGTATTACTGTTCAAAGGATCTCATCCTGAGTAGTCTTCAGCGGCCAGTGAAATCCTTCAGCGAGGGCTGGTCGTTCGTCGAGCCGACATGCTCCGCGAGCAGCCTTTGGCATTCAAATATTTCAACGGAACCGCATGCAGGCGGGACGGAATCCCAATTTCCACTGGGTGCACCCGCCACGTTTCGGTCTACGCAATCGCTTTGACCTGCTCGCAGGTGCGCAGGTTGCTCGTATGCCGGATTCCTCGACGCTGCTACAGCTTTTATGGGCTTTCGGTGGACACCGCGACACCGCAAGGACACCGGAAGTCTACCAGGTCGCGGCTCTGCGAAAGAATTCCGCTGATAACCGCTCGCGCTGATCGTTATCCTCGACACGCGACCCTTAGCTTGCGGTTCAGACTAGTCCAATAATTAAATACTCCAGTATGAATCTTATTCTTGCATTTCCATAGTTGGCTATCGTTTGATTTATTCGTTTTTTTCTTAATTTTAGGTGTATCTATCTCACGACATGGAGGAAGATAAACTTGAGCGTAGACCAAGGCTATGCAGTGTTTTAAGTTTTATATAAAAAGAATCAAAGAGTATCACGCTGGCAGAATGATACCAAATAATCTAGTAAACGTAGGTGAAATGATCAGGCCCGCTTGGCTGCCCGACTAAAGGAAAGTGTCAGGTGCTGACGGGTCAAGTTCAAGCTTCTCACGCGTGTTGGGGATCACGATTTCGAATTGAAACCTCGAACAGGGTCGTTCTTTTTCCCCTCTCTTTTATATTAGCAGCTTTTCATCTACGTCAAGACTCGATGTCAGATATTTCCTTTCCTTTTTTGACCTTTGTGCGTAGAAAACTTCCTTCGACGCTTTATCATGGAGTTCCGTTCTAGTCGAAACAGTGTTGCTTCTCGGAATCTATTTCCTCTGGCAGGGTATTAATAGATATACGTTCATTGAAGTCTGCTGCGATGACGTGTGTATTTGTTGCAAAAAGGCCCGTCAGAAAAATGTCTCGCGTGTCTGGCTTCGGAGGAAGGAGGTACCGCAAGGTTACTTAAACGACAAATCGATGAGACGTCCCATCAGCGGAGGAGCTACTTCCTCGTTAGAAATGGTTTCTGACCTAGCCCTCGACGTGTCACGAATTCCTCTCGCGCGTTGTCTCAGCCCTTTACCTTCAAGAAAGCGATTTTAGGAGGTCAGAAACGTCGACTAATATCGAGAAGCTCCTTTGTTTCCCACCTCGTCTCGTGACTCCCTTCGCGCTGCGATTTTGGACTTTCGCCATCGGCGTTCTGCTGTTTCTGATGCGACGATACGTAATTACTTACCACCGCGAAGAAGGAGGGAAGCATCGAGGAAAATATCAGAGATCAATGAATCTTAGATGAACATTTTATTTTATTGTAAGCAACACGTAACACGGATACAGAGGCTCGTGCGGTGCTCAGCCAGCAGTCGACCCAATTAACAATAATCACAAATCGCGCTCATTCGTGCTCGCCAAGCGGACGTATCGAGGGTTTCGAGATACCCGGTACCCCTGGCATCGAGATCGACGCCCCCGATCGATACCAAACGCGGTTCCTTACGCACTAAAATTTCGCAACTATTTCTTAGACGTCCTTCTACTTCAGCTACTGTCTGACACGAGCCCGCGATGATGGCACAGAAATCGGTAACCTTGTCTAAAAATTATATGGCAACTGCTATCAAGTGCGAGTCCCTCGATCCTCGAAGCCGATCTTTTTGCTTTCGCTAGGTTCCTCTCGCGTGTCCTGGGAACCTTGAATCGGGAAACGGGTCGAACGATTAAACAACAGAAGGAAGTTGATCCATGCTGTCTCGAAGAACGGTTCGCGCGGATGATTTACGACGCGACTCGCATGCACGAGGATCCCTAGCTTCGCTCCCCGGCTCGATAAAGGTAACAAGTGTCCCCCCACGATCGCGAATCAGGTATCCGTCAATTAACGATCATCTAGACCAGTTCCTCCATTTACGAAATAAGTGGGTCGTTGGCAATCCATTATTCAAACGAATAGCGCGCCATTACTTGCTTCTCGGTAGCGCAAACCGAAGAATAACACGCTCACTGTCCCTCGACCTAGGTCAAGCACAGTTGTGGATGGGCCAGGATAGTCTTGACGGTCATCTTTCTTTTTCAGGACTGTGAACGTGTCGAGAAGTTAATGGTCAGTCGTACTACATGCTCCGGGCCTTCTAGAAGCTTATTCGGTACCAGAGAACCTTCTTCCGGTCCTCCGAGTGTCTTCCCGGACTGCAGTTGTTGAATGTCAAAACCAGGACGTCTCCGAGTCGAAACGCAGTGCAATCTGAATCGTGGGGGGTCGACATTTTCGTGACGACGCGCCAGGATCCACCTTGAGAGCAGGAAATATGTGATAATGCTGGTAATACTAATTGCTCGGATGACCTTTGCGTGATCCGACCCGGGGAGATGCTCGTCGGTCGTATCGTTGCAGAATTTTCTGCGGCAACGATTTTACGAGGTATTCGGGTCCCCTGGGGATCGCGGAATGTCAACACCCCAGGGGAGCTTCCCTGACTCTGCGGAAGTCCTTGAGATTTTCATCCTTTACCCTAGAGGACTGGCTTTTAATTCGACTGCGTTTCAATTCCTTCGGAGGCGTTAGGTAATTCAAAAATAAATGGCGGTGCTCCGAGTTGCACGCTTTCGTCAATTTTTGTACGCATCATACGCAAGACCGTGCTGGTAGACTACGATTCTTTGTGGCAGAAACGAAAGAGAAATGTTTAGAGAAATTGCCGAGACGATGGCTGACTCCGAACTTATTCGTTTTATTCAACGTCTTTATTGCACAAAGCCAGTGGCGTTACACGTGTAAGGTAAACATTCGTTAAACAAATTGCGACGTACGCAAAGGCGTAAATGAGATGGCGTTTCAAAACCATAGCTTCGTCGAATGTGAACCCTGCGAAAACCAATCTATTCCGATCGGAACCCCATTGTTTCGAACGAGTTATGAATATTCAGTGTTAGTACGCGTTAATCTGCCATTTATTTCTGAACTATCTACTAGTTTCTCGAAATTAATTATCGGATAGCCTGAGTCGGAGGACGACTTAGCTTCGATTCGACGCCGCTTCGTGGCGTTCCGTCCGTCGTCATAGAAGAAGTCCTAGAGATGCCCTCTTCCAAATTCTTTATTATAAATATTCGAATCTAGTTCGACTCGAATAGATCAAGACTAGCAAGTTCGATAAAACTTTACCGATTGATTTCACGAATTAATTTTTTATAGAACATTCTTGAAAGGACAGATCTTCCTTGACGACTTCGATGAACCCCGCGGTGCGAAATAATCGAGGAAGTACGATCAAATCCATCGAATTAGCGTATTCGTTCAGTGTATTCTATCAGCGTATTCGTTCGTAATAAATACGTTCGTCGATCGTCCTATGATTAGAATTCAGCGAGTGGTCTCGCTGTGTTAGTTCCGTAACGGTGTCGTCGACCGATACGATACAAGAAGAGCAAGAAATGATCACGGTAAAGTACAATTCGTGCAGAAAGAATTCGTGCCCTTAAAGCTAATATTCGCGTCTTGTCCGCGACTTTCTTCTTCTTTTTTTTTGTCGTTTTTCCCTCTATTTTCTGGTATCCCCCCTCCCCTCCCATGAATCCCAGTTATCCCTTTTCCTTTCGTGCGTTAGGGTCGTGACGGGTGGACATTAACGCGCATGATTTTTGCAGAACGGACGTCCTCCCTTCGCGTAGAAGCTCTGGCCCTCGAGGTTCTTCTTGCACATCTGAAACACGGTCGACGGAATCGTTAATTAACGAACGTTAAAGGATTTAATTATTTAACGCGTTGGAACGAAATTAAATCTGGATAGGATTCGTGAATTCGGCAGGTTTAAGAAATTAGATGCTACGACAAATGTTAACCCTTTCCACTCGAGGCCTTTTTTCCGGTATCTACCAGCAACTCGAGATGCTTTCTTAGCATTCTATTGCCACGAATGCTAAGCTTAGATTGACTTCGAGGATGAGAACTATAATTTGAGATTTATTGACACTTCGAGTTCCAAAGAAATTAAACCTAAACAAACATTATTGCTGGTTGGTTTACTGCGTCGAACCTAGCGGTGACCGAGAGTCACCTCTCGAGTGCAAAGGGTTAAATTATCTAATCTTCAAGAGTCTCGAGACACAATTTTCCATTTGTACAAATATTCACGAGCTTTAGCTTGGCAGCTACCGCGTTGAAACGAGTAAGTCTGGATCATTGGGAAAATTGTTTCGAGTTCCTTTCGAGTATCTCGGTTTTAATTTCTTGGTAAACTGCGGCAGACTTGGAATTCCGAGTTTAATAGGCACGGCGATTAAGATATCGTGAAGCGACTTTAAACCGTTCTGAAAATGTCACGCGGTCGAAACAACTGCGGCAATTTGGCCAACTGGCGTACAAGGAACTTGGGTAGTAATTGACAATCCGTTTCTTTGACTTTCTTAGCGGCGAAATCGATCGGTTTATTTCGAGAAGCGTTCTCGCACTAATTGCGTACCGTGCAGTTGAAACATTGACTGTGGTAATTATTGTTCAGGGCCTCTACCCAACGATCTCCAGCTTCGACTGGGAATCCGCACGCGAAACACTTGGTCGTGAACAGCTCGTGCCAATCTGCGCCAAAAATAAGAAAGATATTAAACACATTTGCGTGCTTTTATTCGCAGACTTGAAAAAAAAGGGGAGTCGAGGAGAACGTTGAACCGACCAGCTTCACAGTAGGGCAGTCCCTCTTCGAGGAAGAACGGGCTGTTGCCGAAGAGCTTGCCGCAATATGAACATTTGAAGCATTCAGGGTGGAAATGCTTTCCAATCGCGGTCAAACAATCCTGAAACGTCGAACGATTAGTTCGGGTCTATGGATCTGTCGATCCTAGGTAGTTTAAACTTACGCCTTTGATCTTGTTGTTGCATTTGTTGCAGGACGGCGCGATGAAGCGTTCGAAACAGTACTCGCAATAGAGCTGGCCCTTCTCTTCCACGAATCCTATGTCCTGAAGCGGTCGACGGCATTGGGTGTTGACGCAGACGAAGTGGTCGGGGCACCAAATTTGTCCCAAGGCGGTGATGAAGGGCCCCCTGAATTATTCCAACGATTACTCGTCGAATTCGTGTCGCGAAGATGATATTATCGAACGCGCGAACAAGCAGAACAAAGCGACAAGAAACGACAAGAGACATTCTGAAGGCAGACATTCTGAATTTTTCTTTCACCTATTCGAATATAGAACTTGTATTAAATAGCGTGACTATGGAATTGAAAATCTTTTCGCCTGTTAGTCGACTATATTACGAACCTTGTGCACTGTTTGTCGTTTTTACAGCAGACTGGTTTTATGACGAGACCGTTCGACTTGCGATTAGTACTTTCTCCGTTAGCTGTTAACATCGTGCAAAGTAAACACTGTTAATCACGTCGGTGCACAATCGTTACAGTTGCTACTGGCTTGGGTAAAACAAAAACAATGAATTAATATCGTACCCGCTTGCGGGTCGTAAGGTTACCATCCGCGGAGAGGACAACGCCATTTCGCCGTAATGTAAGCGCAATAAATATATTCTGATACTTTATTCGTAGAAAACAATTGCAATTAAGCACACTTTATTCACAGAAAACAATTCATTTCAGTTGGGGCTGTCGCCATAGAAATTCACGAGAAAGAAGAAAAACTTAAAAAAAAAAAACTTGCAGGATGCTGAATGAAAAACGAAGGCGGTTGGTACAAGAGTATACTTGGCTCTGATAAGTAAACTCCTCACCTTGGTAACCCTACGGTTTGGTAACCCTACGATGTTCACAAAAAGCTACGAAAAACATGACTCCTCGACATTGAGAAGATCACGTGGTGATCTTCCAGTGTGCAAGGTTACTGGCAAAAATGGCAAAAAATCAATAAGATTTTTCAATCGTTGGAACATAGGAGAGGGATGCCACCGAAACGGTCCGAACACATAACGGGCTGGAGGATCAAGCGCACGCAGGGGTGGACAAAAACGCAACGCGAGTAAAGCGACTCGAGGTCAGGGAGAACGGCGGCGAGCGGAAGTAGAGCGTCGTAGGTGCAACGTACACTGGACGATAGGTGCAACGTGCACTGAAATACAAACGCAAACAAACAAACAAACCGAACACCGATGAACGAGCAACGGGGCGAGTACCTGACGTAAGAGTTGCAATGGGCGCAGAGGGGTACCCTAGATCCCGGTCCACCAGCTTGGTTTAGGACTCCCCTTCCGCGTTTAGGCGCGCTGCTGCCGGCGAATGTTCCGTTCTTCGACCCTGGACCACCGAGGCCACCGACTCCGGTACCTAGATCCGGGTGGGA